GATGTTATGGTTTCAGAGGACACATGAGACCAAAGGGAGGCTTCATGCTGGCCACAGTCTGATGTCTTTAACTGACCAACATATAAATACAAAAAAATATACGTTTAAAATGATAAATGCTGATCTTTATTTATTTTTTTATTTTTTACTACGTGAGAGACTTCTAATATTTTATACAAAAAATGTTTAATTAATCTTGAAGATGGTATAAATCAAATGACCTCTGACCATTCAGAAAACACAAGCTACAGTATAATCAGGATAGATGCACAGAGTTTTGTGTTCACTGGGCGAATGAAACACCACAATCAGCCAAATGTGCACATCAAAACTACTCTGAAAGTCTGATGACAGTAAACCCTCTGTTCACATCGATAATCTGAAATCAYGGAGCCGACGCAGATGAAACCTGGCTCAAATAGCACAACACGAACGTTTGCATCCTCCAAACACAGAACATGACGTAAACACATAATGCCAACAAAACATCTAAGAGTCAAAAACGGCTTGTCAGATTTTTCTGTTTTGTATTTCCATTGCATTAGTTCAGTTTTCCTTTCTTTTTTTTTTGTATTTTCAATTATTATTCAGTTAGTTTCTACCCTAAAAGAACTAGAATTCAAGCAGCAAAACAACTCATAGTTTAAGACAAACTTGGCACAGAACGTTTGGAAATTTGTGTTGGCCAATTATTTCTTTGCTGTAACAATGTTTCATTAAATCTTAAACTGATGGAAAGAATGGAGCGGTCTGCCTGCAGGCCTGACCTCAGCTCCAGTGAACACCTGTGGGATCAGCTTGGACGTGCTGTTTGTTACAGAGCGACCAGCACAACCAGGTTGGCTGACATGAAACTAATGCTGGTTAAAGAATGGGATTCCATCCCACAGCAGTGTGTGACCAGGCTGGTGAGCACTAGGAGGTACCCCGACTGTTGTGGCTGTGTATGGTTCTTCCACATGCTACTGGAGCCCCTAACAGTATGAACACACTCTTAAATTGCAAAAATGTCTTTCTCCTTCAGACTTCAATCTAATCCAATGAGTCAATGGCAGAATAAGCTGTTTGGCATTGGTAAAGGAGATTTGGCACGTTTTTCATGCAATCTCCTTACAATTGTGGCACCATTTAGGAGAAATAAACAGGCTTTTAAAGGGCATCAAGAAGCATTRTTACAATAAAGCAATAATCGTTAAACCATTGTCAGGAGAAAACATGATTTCTATTCCTGACGCTACAAAAAATGCAACGGTAATACGCAAACAGAACATAAAAACTGATTTTTATTAAATCTGAGCTACTTGGATGTACAAAGAAGAGAAGGATGAACAAAGAAAGAGAGGACTGGGGATGAATGAGGGTCAGGAATGATGGAGGTGAACAGGAGAGGCTACACACACTCCACAGCGACGGGTGTGGCTTTGAGGGAGCTCTCCTGCCAGTTTAGCACAGGAACAGGAATGCAGGTCTCACTGATGGTCTCCTGACAGCGGAAGGACAGGGGGGGTCCGCTATCAAGTAGCAGCTGAGCGTTGCTCTGGACTGTCTCCACTACAGAGGGAGGTGGAGGGGCAGGGAGGGCAGAGGTCAGGGGTGGGGGAGTGGTTTTAGGAGGACCGGGTGCGCAGATATAGGGACAGGAGACCGAGAGAGGAAGGAAAGGAAAGAAGACAAGGAAGACACAAAAACATATGAAGCAAGAACAACATGAAACAAGAACGACCCTTCTTGTGGATAACAACTGTTCTTTGGCATAAACAGTCACTTCTGAAATCATAAAAGGCTAGTTTTGTAATCTTTCATGATTAAAAATGAACTTATGTTTATTAAAACATTACCACAGCTAAAAAAATTTATCAAGTTTCCTGAGGATAATAACACTTATTTGCACTGGCCTCTGAAATAATAAAATACTTTCATGCTTGAATCACAATTTAATCTAGACAGATGTTTACATCAGTACAGAAAACATCTAATTTCAGTAGCTAGCTCGATAATAATTATCTTCATCTTCACCGATATGTATAAATAGAKTTTATTGAGGCCTTAAGGGTTACTCCGTTAAAACAAAAAAGTCCAAACAGAGACCAAAAGCAGGACTATGACCACATTCAGATGAATAAATTGCTTCACAGAAGACATTGAAGCACAACGAGGAGAAAAATGTATAATTTTTCTTTGAGACGGTGTTTACTCTGCGAGTGACCTCAGTGTGCTTTTAAGACATGTACAGTATATGGCATCAGTGACAAACAGGACAGTAGGTTACAGTCAGTCTCTGAAGTGTTTGCTGATTTTGAACTTAAAAGAATGAAATTAAAGCCAATTTATAACAGGGGAATTAGGCCTTTGTGTCGGTGCCGAGTCCAAAGAAGAATCACAAAAAAAATAAAATTTAAATAAATTAAAAATCCAAAAGGCGTCACCGAAGAGTTTCTGAGGCGTTGGTGCGCCGCCGCTGCGCAGGACTCACCCAGCAGGGCGGAGTTTCCGTCCCCCAGGGGAAATCGTTGATAACGGGGTACGCTGAAGGGAGGGAGAAGGTGAAACTTCCGCTCCAGCAGAGGCTCCAGACGGGAGGCCGAGGGATCAGCTGGGTGGAACAAGTTGTAGACCTGCTGACACGCAGGCCTCAGCTGGGCCACTAGGGGGGGACAAACCAGAGAACAGGAGAGTGGAGGAACCCCAAAGAGGAGAGGCTTAGCAGTAGCACCTCTTTGAACAATTTTCTTAAAATTACACAAGGTGTGCCTGTCATAACAATCAGATACAATTCAAAAGGACAGATTTTTTTTGAGAATTTCGACTACATATTTTACCTGAGGCAAACCACTTTTACATATCACATTTTTTTTCAGCATAGACCTTAACTGATTTTATATAACATTAGAAAACTGCATAAAGAAGCTCACCATCCAACATTGGAATGACGGTCTTCCTCAGGGCCAGTACCAAGCCCAGCGGAGAGCCAAAAAGGAAAAAATCGGACACCTCAAAGTCAAATTTCCCCAGGGAGGATCCATCCAACATGGTGCTGCTGCTCGATCTGCGGGAGGTGGTGTCATTCCGCAAGACGCTAGAATGCAAACTGAGGAAAAAAAACTTCAGAGATAAGTAAAATAAATAAATAAATAAATAAAAAATAAACATTAATAATATGTAAGGAGTTTTATTAACACAAACAGACCTGGACAAAAAAGCCTGGTGCTGTTTAATGGTGTCCAGTTCGTAGGTAGAGGAGTCACTTCTCTTGCGCGGCAGCTGTCTCTTGGTCTCGTCGCCTGAACTGGTGCGAGGAATATCAATGTTACTGCGACTCAGGTGGCGGCTGCCTTCCAACGTTGGGGATGATGAGCCAGGTCCGCAGTTTATGATGATGCCAGGAGAGAGGAGGTCCTGGTCCTACAGGGGGTCAAATTACAGGAAAGTATTACAAAAGCAGAGTTGTAAAGTAACTAGATACAAATACTTTGTTCTTGTACTTAAGTAGAATTTTTGGGTATCTGTACTTTACTTGAGTAATTTATTTTCAGCCTTCTTTTTACTTCTACTTCTTACATTTTCCACACAATTATCTATACTTTCTACTCCTTACATTTTTAAAAAAGGCACAAAGTAGAAAGTTGTTACTTTTATTTCATTTTTGTTTGTTTTCATTCCAGCTTGTTACTGTAAAAAATAAATACTATCCATATAAACTGTGACTCCTAGATAGAATGAATTTAATTGTGGTTGAATCAGAAGTATAAATATATAAAATTCTGRTACYGTATTAGTTTGTACACAAACAAATCATGTCACACTCCAGCAGGACATAATCATTAAAATAAAAGAACTGTACTTAAGAAGTATTTGTATTTTATGAATTATATTTTTGCATTTGGCCGCAGCCCTCAGATAGATTTTCATTTTGGAGAAAAAGTTTGGACATCTTTCATATATGTAATCTGAAACAGCTGGACTAGTGCATATTAAATTTAATATTAATTAATAATTTTAACACAACAGTCATTTCTGCATTTTTTTGGGAGGTCAACTCTTAATAAATGTCATTACAGAGAATCTAACTGCTCATTTTAAATCAATAATTTTACTTTTAATACTTAAGTACAAAAAATATCAGATACTTTAAGACTTTAACTAATATTCCTAAAGGAGACTTTAACTTTTATCAAAGTATTTTTTTGGTAGGATACTTGTACTTTTACTCAAATATCATTTTTTGGTACTTTATACAACAATGTCCAAAAGCTGACAGAAAAACATATTCCAGGTTTTATTAACGTGAGTGAGAAATCAAAAGTTTCGCCTCTTACCTGCACACTGATGACGCTGCCCCTTCGGCTGCTGTTTTGGCTTTCATTGACTGTGGGACAGCTGTTGCACAGGGCATCAAACCCTAAAATTCCTCCCACGCAGTCTCCAATCAGGCATACCTGGCAAAGTCGAGCATTAGAAATATATTTTTACAAAATTAAAGCATAGTGACGTAGGTGAACTCATACTCTGAGGGTTAAAATGTCCTTAAGGAAYGAAAACCGACCTGGCCAGAGAAGGCGGCCCCGTCCAGAGACTTAATAAAGTCGGCGTACACCTGGTTGGCTCGAATGATAACAGTGGCCACGGCTTCCTGGTACTGCGGAGATGAGGTGGCCAGAAGAGGCAGAGCTGCAAGCGGGATGTGGTCCTGACTGCTGGACAGGCAGCCTTCATCATAGCTATAAGGGCTCAAGCTTGAAAAGAAAAACAAATATTGAGAAAATTTAAAAAAGCAGCTTGAGTAAATAAACACAGGAAGAGGACACGGCTGCTTAAAACCACTTTTTTTTCTTTTTTTTTTTTTTGAGAAAACAGCCTGCGCAGCCAACGAACCATCAATCATAAACACATATGATCTGCAGGGAAAGAAATAAAAAGGAAGTGTTTTCTCTTACTTGGACACCAGAGAGAAGGCCTCGGCGCAGATGGCAGGGCAGGGCACCAAGCGGATGGCGATGCGTCCCAGCGCGGCGGGGTAGTGAACGCGCATGACCGTGTCAAAAGCCGTGCTTATCGTGTTGACGTCGGCCTGCTTGCTGTTCTGGTCCCCGCCGCCCGTGTCCAGGATGTTCCCTCCGTGCAGGACCAGGATCAGCACGTGAATCTTGGACGGCTGCAGGCACCGCTGGGACGAGCTCTCCTGGGAACAGCAGGTTAGAAAAYGGGTGACAAATGGGAACGTGGAGGAGCAGCCCCTGGAGAAGGTTTTGATAGATTAGTTGAGTTTCATAACAAAAGACAGCATATTTGACCTTTTTTTTAAAAACTTGGTAATAAAAAATATATATTTTAGTTACAGTTTTGTGTCAGTTTTGGCTTTTCAAACATGGATCACACAGCAGACTTGTTTTCACAACCATAGAGGGGCAGAGAACCATGCTGCTGGGGGACGTCACATGAAATCGCACAGAATAATGTGTAGTTTTGTCGTCTGCGTCTGATCCAAAACTTCACATTGCCAGAGAACACTCATATGTACACTTAATGCCACAACTGCCAATACAAGCGAGTTGAACAGAGGGTGGTGAGGTTGAGGAGTACACATGGGTTGGGGTTTGGGCGATGCCAACAGAGAGGTGGGGGGGAAAGGGTCAGTCAGTACTGTCCACATGGATCGGATCTAGCTGTGGGTCTGTTCTAGCCCACAGTACACGGGGGGCCAAATGGTTTACTTACTGACGGGTGCCTTGTTACCATGATGGTGGGAATGGGAGAGCTATCGGCTTGGCTGCTAAGAGAGTCACGTATCTGAACACAAGAGCACAGAAAGGCTCAGGGACAGTCAGCCTTTCCTTTATCCTCCAAAGGTTAAAGTCTGAGAATCACTGTATTTTTTTTATTGAACTAAAATGTGATAAAGATTAGCAAATCCTTTGGGTTTCTGGGAWTTTTTGGCATTTCACTTCTTTAAAAAAAAAAACCTCATAGAACTGCATCAGCACAAGCTGGTCAGGACTGTGCTTTTTTTTTTACTTAAAATTTAACAAACATACCTCATCTAGTCTGTCTTCACTCGCTGATCTTTCATAATCTACGACCATTTCCTTAAAGGTTTCATCTGGAAACACACAAACAAGTGGTGAACATTAAGTGACAGGAGTGGAACCATMGGTGACGAGGAGCCGGTCAGCGGTCTTCATCATACCAGGAGTTTCCTCCGTGTCTGCGGCTTCAATCTTGTCCATGAGGTCATTTGAGTTCCACTTGGCTATTTCTTTTGGGAAAACCTCTTCACCATCTGAGAGGTCCTCTGCAGAAACAAACAAAAAAAGAAGTTTTAGTCAAACACAAGTGTATTTGCAAAACTGCTTTAGCGAATCGTAACAAGACCCTTTGTTTTTTGTGGAGCGCCACTTGTTTTGGTGACACAAGGGTAACACAAAATCCTTGTGTTGTGCAAAAGTCGAAGCATTAACTATGAGGTAGACTTTTTATGTGCTGGAGAGAAGGAAAAATCTTTTTTTAAACTTTTTAAACTTWTATACATGGATCTTATTTTATTACATTAATTTGTAAAATC